TTGTTAAACAGCCTGGGTGCGCTTTCTAAACTATAAATGTCACCATGCCACATAGGATGAAAAGAGGAACCTGTTAACTAGAAGAATTCTTTTCAGGATATATTAGGTCCTAGCCACATTGAAATCAATATAGTTCATCTTTACCAACAGTCCTGCCACCATACACACTTCATTTTGTCAATACAAGGAAAATGGTCTAAATTCTGGATTTGCTAGCACTGTCCCTGTTACTACAACTAAATAAAATGCCAGATCCAGTTGTTGGGTTCTGTGTCTCTGACTTGTTAGAATGGGGGCAGGGGATCTGTTAGCCTTTAGATGTTGCTGGACTCATCTCCCACCAGCCCCAGCCAGGAAGGCCAATGATAAAGGATGATGAGAATTGGAATCTAGAAAGGCATAGAGTCCGTATATTTGCATTAGCATGACTGAAAAAAATTAAATCCAGGGCAGGGGTTGCACTCCTCACAAGACACTTTGGCCACAGGAAAAAGGCTGAATGATTTCTTGAGCACACTTCAATGTTTCCCCTATAAAAAGGGACACTGCTGCATGCCCCTCAAAGTGGTAGCATGACTGGTCCAGTAAAGTGTGATGGGTGTGTTTGCAATGTATTTCTGAGAGCAGAACTACTCTTGCCCTTGACAGGTGCTCATTCCGTTTCCTCCTTTCTGTCGATTTCATGGCATTTCACCAGTACAGTTGTACCTCGGAAGTCGAACGGAATCCGTTCCGGAAGTCCATTCGACTTCCAAAATGTTTGAGAACCAAGGTGCAGCTTCCGATTGGCTGAAGGAAGCTACAGCAGCCAATTGGAAGCCACAGCGGACGTTCGGGTTCCAAAGAATGTACGCAAACCGGAACAATCACTTCTGGGTTTGTGGTGTTCGGAAGCCAAAACATTTGTCTCATAAGGTGTTTTACTTCCGAGGTATGGTTGTATTCTGTTTTGAATTTCAGTGTTGTGCTAGTAGCATTTGAACATACTTTCTCCCTTTGAGATTTCAGAATAGCTACTTTGTATGCCTAGCTTTTCATCATTGCACATCTATTTTCATCCTATTGGCATAGAGCAGGACCAACCCCAAACATTCTGCTGCCTGGTGCAGAGCATAAGTTGATGCACCACCACTGCCCTGCTCTAATTCCAGGTGCAGGATACAGAAGACTAGACAAATTATTGAGGCAGAAAAGTCTGCAAGACTCCCTGGCAAGCAACAACAACAGTAACAAACTAAATAACTATTTCCTACGCTTTTCGTGACACTTCAGGTCAGCTGCCTGAAACAATCACCGCACTCTGCCTAGGACTAGCACAGAGCACTGACTCGAAAGCAGGTTTTCAAGCTTGTTTGGTATATCAAAGCAATCCTTGTGTAACCAATTAATTATAAGGTTTTAAGATGCTAGCTTAAAAAAATTCAAAGGGTTTTCAAAGCACATCCTCCCCAATGGCATTGAATGGGATCTTGCAAAATCCATTTACCAACACGGTAATTTAAATACTAGATAATTATAATAAGTATTGGTGGCAACTCAAGGGAGAGGTCAAAAGTGGGGGTTTTTAATAGCGTCACTACCCGCTAAGCATTGCCTCTGGCTCTTTGCTCCTTTACCTCTTAACCAAGCTGGAAGAGCCCTCCCTTCTTTCCCCCACTTTCATGGTTTTTAGTCACCAGCTGTAGTATTTCATCTGATGTAATCTGAACTGTTGCCCCCAGACCTCTCCAGTAATGGACACAACTCAGTGATCTGATAGCTATAAATAACACACTTAAAAACTGATATAGAATGGAAATGTGGCTATTGCTGGATACACAGTAGGATAATAATGATTAATGTCAGCATGGAACCTTTCAAAAGCATACCTTTTCTTTATGAGTTACCCTTAGCCATTGCTCACATATGTTAGAGAAATAAAATATGAGAAGTAATTAATTCTGAGTGACGTATAAGTGAACTGCCATGTGATGAAATTTGTAGTCATCGTGTGGAAACATGGCAAGAAATTCCACGGTCCCACCAGAGATCCAACACATTGCAGCTGTCAGTTTGCATTCATTCTGTTAATAATTTTTAAAGCCTCTTTTCCTACTGGGATGTTTTAAAATTAAAGTTTTAAAAAAGCTAAATCCTCCCCTAGGATACCACACAATTCTTACTCAACAGATTTGCAAGAAGCCCTTTGATAATGTCATTTAAGATTATTTTCTGCAGATATAAGCTGTGATCCAAAGAATTGAGCTGTGCCTGTGACGAACCCAGACAGAAATGCACTTGCTGTTTCTGTTCTCCTACCAAAGATGAGCCACTGTTCAGTTGAAAAAGTACATGGTTTCTTCAGCAATGGAAACTGTTGGAACAGAAATAGCTAGGCAAGTTCCAGATTTGAATAAGAACGTATCACTCAGGATCACAGCCATAGACACTATTTTCTCAGACACACAAAATGGTTACTTAGAAGCTGTAATGTTTGCAACACATTTCACAGCATGCTTGCTTCTAATGTGCTCCCCTTGAAACTCTTGTACTGAGTTGGTCTGCACAACACAGTAAGCCAAGCTGTGGCTTAGCAAGACAGTGGGACTCTGTGGGCTCCCCAAGGAGGATATTTCTCTAACTTTTTTTCTCTTTGGTTCTTTTTACTGCTGTGACATACTGAGCCAAGCCAATGTTCGGTTTAGTGTGCCTTCTGCTCCACGACCTATTGCTAAGTTCTCTTCTTACTAACCGTTAGTTGTAGCAAAGGTATCTCCTATGGTTACAAGTCATGGTTATAGAAGTTAGACTTTATACATGATCCCAGGTTCAGACGACATACTAAGTCAAACCTTGGCTTAGCTGCTGTTTTAATAAGCCTAGGAAGGAGCAAAGCAGCTGCGATCTGCTCCTCAGCAGTCAGCAAATAGTTATTATTTCATTATTTATTAAATTTATATACTGCCCCTCATCAGAAGATCTCAGGGCTGTTTGGCTTACTGCATCATGCAACCCTGGTCAGTGTCTGTCTGCATTTTGTACTACTTCACATGCAGCAAATATTCAGAACACTGCAGGCTTCACATCAAACAGAAATAATTGGTGCAAGTCAAACAGTAATGTCCACGTGCATAATGTAACTTTTACTATTGGGCTCCAGTTATAGAATTATTTTTGAAGATTCTTCCTAAAAGCTTTGTACCAGGACACACTGGCGAATCAGTTATAGGTACCGATTTTGAAACTATTTTGCTTTAGCATTTATAATCATGTTAATTGCCAATTATAATGGGTGTGAAATTTTGGACCCATCACAATTAATTGCATGTCGCCCAGTGAAATTAATAAGGTCAAGTTTTCCCTCTAGATTAATGAGAGCCTGGAAAAGTCATTAGCATCTGCGTAATGTAAAAGGCCAGTAAGGAATTTCTCACTACCCAAATCCTCTGAAAACTGAAAATTTGCATTTCTAAGAATGTGGCAATGTTGTGGCAATAGGGTTGCCTTATATACATACAAACGCATAAGCACTTTCTGAAATAGCATTTGACTGTCTTAGGAAAATTGCATGGCTGCTAAGTCTCCATGAAATATACTAAACTGTCTTTAAACCAAATACATGGAAATGTTATTTACAATCTGGTTCAGGTTGGTTAACATATACTAATTTGGTGATTTTGGGAAGGGACAGGGTGCCATTACTTAAATGTCCTGTTGCTACTGGACATCGATGCACATATCTGTCTTCACAACTGATGTGGTCAGCCTACAGCCTACATAGGGACAGACAGTATTTTGCTGTGCATACTATACATCTTAACTCTGTAATATATTCCTTCTTGCATTTCTAGGTTTGTACTAAAGCACTGGGCTGGGAATTCAGGAGATTGCAGAGCAGTCAGCATACCTAATTGCTCTTTAAATTGTCCCATTTATTTTTCTCTTTAAAAGCAACCAAATCTGTATACTACCCCTACAAGTTTAACAGAAAACTAAACAAACCTTTCAGAAGCAGCTTGTTGTGATAGTTTGACTATGACTTGACAAAAGAATTGAGTACTCTCTGTTCAGTTTCCTAGCAGTTTTAAGACAGAAAAGACCGCTTACCGTCATGGCTCGGAAGCAGCGGCTGTGGCCTGGCTGAGCCATCAGAGGTCAGGGGTTGGGTGGTCTCCTGCTTCCAGCGCAGCCAACGGATGACGTCGGCTCCTCTGTTGGCCACTAGGGTGGTTGGGATTTACCCGGGAACTTTAAACTAGCCTATTATGGCCAAGCAAGGGGGTGGGGTTACAAGTGCAGATCTGACTGGCCTGTCTTCAGCCACGTCTGCCACTAGAACACAAATCCCCAAAACAGCTTCCTGGAGGGATGTGTGTCAAGGAGGCTGTCCTTAACCCAAGATGTCATTAAAATGCCTAGGGATTTTTGTCAGGTATTTCTAGGGGATACTGCAAGCAACACAGATGAATACTCCACACAAGGAGAGCTAAAATAGGAAAGCAACTTAAGCCACAGCAGTGTGTATGTGTTTCTTCTGTGAAAAACTCATATCTAATTACTACACAGTTTTAAAGTGTGGGTGGAGTCTGTGCAGCTTAAGGAGTCTGTGTTAAGATGCACATGCTAACTTTGTGGATGGAGGCTACAAAAAGCTTTATAGCTACAAATGCAGTATAGTTGCATTGTTTCCATGTCCTGATGAGGAATACCTTCAAATTTCTAACTGAAGAAAAAAATATTAAAAATTAAAACATAAAATACACACTAGTGACACTCAAAATTGAAAACTGTCAAAAGCTTCTTTGTGAATCCTGGACCTCTCCAAATTTATTCATTTTTGTAATCTCTGCTCTAATAGGTTTCCACTGTAATGCCCAAAAGATTTTTTGTGTCTCCCCAAAATATCCTTAAATAATATTAATATCAATAACAATATTAATAATAATAATAATTTTACTGATTGCTCCCACAGACCTCTGGCTGTGATTGAACAATGTGCTTTTTTTTTTTAAACTTTTCAGCTGCCAACACTTGACATGGAATCCTGGAGGGTCAGGGTTCAGCCCCAAATTGACGAGCCACGCCGGGTTATGGTATGGAATTACAGATGACAATTTATATATAGATTTTGTTGGTCCTTAGAAAAATGAGCTAACAGTGTGAGTCACTATAAGTGTGTAACTTCTATATCAGATATGTCAGTGGGGGAAACATTGGAATTTTTCTTACCATGAATTTCTGTTTTAAGATGCCTTCTGGAGGCCATTCCCAAGGTTAAGGAATGCTCTCTGGAAGACTCTTAAAAAGAGGTTTGTCTCAAACACTTGGAAATATGGTATCAACATCCTTCATAGGGAGCTTGACGAAGTATATCATTATCAAAGAGGGGGCTAAAAGGCAGGAGAAACAGTATGCAGAATTGTATCTACTGCCTAGAAGATTAAGCTGTTATCAGTTATGATTTGTTTGAATTCTTGCATTGTCTTTAAAAAGTTATTAATAGCCTTACAATCAAGCTCTTGATTTATTTAGAACTTTAATAACAACAACACACAACTGAGTGAAGCAAAGGGCAAAGTCAAAAGCTAAAGTATTATAAGGTTGATATAATAGATGGTAAGGTTGATCTTATTGCTTACTGTTCACAACAGTGATCCAAACATTTCACCACCCCCATTCCAAAGTGGGGAACTCTGGCACTCTCCTCAGCTTACCTGCATGTGCTATATACTGACTGACTGTTTGAAAAGAGAGATCAAAAACAAGTTATGGGCAGTCTAGATTATCCCCATTCAAAATAAGAAAAGACAGACACAAGGCTACTTAAAAGTGAGGCTGCACTTCTTCACTGTTCAACACCTATTATCAACAATAATAATTTATTTGGGCAGGAAGAGACCATTCACATTCTCTCCCAGATCTTTGTCTTATTTTTCTGTTCTCCAACTGCAGCTCATCTACAAGCTATGTTAGCTGATGCCTTCTAGCCAATATATCTAGAGCTCCCTACATACCCAACAACCAGAGCAGCACTAGAGTAAGAGTTGGAAATCCTGTGGAACAAGAGTGAAATGAATGAAGGTTGTCACGATAGCTACAGAGTACCTCCAGGCCCTTTGCCCTGGCAGAAGAATCTGATGCTTTCTTCACTTGATAGGATAGCCACCTTCAAATATCTCAAGGGTTGATACATGGAAGATGCAGCAAGCTTGTTTTCTCCTGCTCCAAGGGGGTGGACTTGAACCAATGGATTCAAGTTACAAGAAAGGAGATTCCGACTAAACATCAGGAAAAACTTTCTGACACTAAGAGCTGTTCAACAGTCAAATGGAGGTTTTTAAGCAGAGGTTGGATGGCCACTCATCATGGATGCTTTAGTTGAGATTGCTTTAGTTGGACTTAATGACCCTTGGAGTCCCTTCCAACTCTACATTTCTATGATTCATTTGCTAATCTCCTGATTTCCTCCAAAGGTTGGTCACTGTGTACCTGCATTGCACTTCACACTGCAGTACTCTTGCAGGCTTGGTTTAGATAATGGCAGATGAAATACCAAAAGCAAGAAAAACTGAAGATGAGTCATGGCCAACTTAGAAGTCATTTTCTTTTACTGCTTTGCAGCCACAATGCTGTCTATTCCTTCCCACATTTATTACAAACAGCATTCAGTAGAATGCAACCACTTAAGCTTAAGCACTGTGACAACAATGTTATTTATAGGACACCATGGTCAAAGCAAACAATTTGCATCAAACTATATTACACCACTTAAAAAAACAACAACCACAAGTTGACAATAATAATATTCTCCAAAGTCACATACTTCATGACAAATGCATCTTTCCCCCCCTAATTAGATGGGTCGATGGCATTGACATGTGTGCGTAAATGCATAGCCACTTTCACTCCAGGAAATGCAGCAGGATGTAAAACAATTGAATGTGAGGAATGCTGCATGTGAACACATTCCGAATAATCAAACAAATAATCTGATTAAGTTACAAAGGACAGCTACTACTGAGTTGTAAATTACCTAACGCACATACCAAATCCAACTATAAAAGTCAAATCTGTATTTATGGAGATTATGTGAAAAGCTTCTTAGAAGTGGGGTTTTTTAAATCCCTAATGGAATAGTATAATCTTTTTTAAACAAAACAAAACAAAAAACCTTTACTATAAATTGCCAGGATTGTACCACCGGCTCTGATTTATACCAAATCCAGCTGAAATGTTGGTCAGATAGATTTCCGGTTTCCAAAGCACAAAAAAAGATGTTGGAAATCAGTTGATGTAGAAATTAAAGAATGATTTAGTAATTTCTAAAGTAGCCAATAATTGTTCCTGCACCTGAGAACCTGATGGACAGTTTTATATGGGAGTAAAAAGTGACAATTTTGTTATTCATATCAAATGGTCAGAATTCCAATACAGCATCCTTGGACTGAATTGTTTTATGCATGACCTCCTTAAGGGTTTTTCCTTGTCAAATGGAGTAATTATCACATTGCCTACCACTATTAGGTATATTCATGATACAGAATGATAAATAAGAAAGCATTTCAAGAAAAAAGGAAAAGGATAAGCAAATAATATAGGTATATCAATACATACACTCATAGACTTCCCTATTAGGAAAGTTTGGAGCGTTTGGGACTTTCTAGTTTAGAGAAAAGGTGAGTAAGATGTGACTTGATAGAAATTTATAAAATTATGCATGACATGGAGAAAGTAGATAGTAGTTTTTTCTCCCTTGTAGCACTACAGCTTGTGGACATCCAGTGAAGCTCAATGTCGGAAAATTCAGGGCAGAGTATTTTTTCACACAGCACAAAGTTGAACTATGGAACTTGCTCCCACAGGAGGCAGTGATGACCACCAGCTTGGATGGCTTTAAAAGAGGATTGGACAACTTCATGGAGGGTAAGGCTATCAACTTTCTACAATGGCTATTCTTCTACTTCCACTGTCAGAGGCAGCATGTCTCTGAATACCAGTTGCTGAGAATCATGGGTGGGCAGAGTGCTGCTGCACTCATGTCCCTTTATTGGACTTCCCACAGGCATCTGGCTGACCACTGTGAGAACAGGGTGCTGGACTAGAGGGGCCACTGGCCTGATCCAGCAGGCTCTTAAGTTCTTAGACTTTGAAAATGGCTTGCAATTTACAAAGAAATGTGGATCAAGAATAAATTAAATAAAAATATGGTTTCTGTACACATTATCTTCCATAAACATTCTAAGGGAAGACCCATTTCCTAGGAAGTACCTTCTGCAGGCACATGTAATTATCTCTTTTCCATACTGTTCACGTGGTATGTTTATGTTACAACTGGGCTCGGCTTTTTGTTGGTTTGTTTCCTTCGATTCAACCTGATTTGGTTCAGTTAAAGAGGTAGGGTGTAAATAGGAGAGTTGGTGAAAACTGAAAGCCTATTTCTTTCCCCTGGAGAACAAATCCTGATTTGAACAAAATGGAAAGTGTGAAGCCACCCCTCAAGTCTTTGGGCGGCCTTTTCCACTTGAACATCTCCAGCCGCCAAGTACGGTCCCCTCTGTCCATTCAGAGAACAAGAGGTGCTACAACAAGAAGATGGTGAACAATTTTATCATGGCACTGGGGTCATAAATACTTTTATTCGCGCTCTTTATAGGCTTGGTGAGCTCATGGGTGTGAAGTGGATCCTGGGAGAGAGTGCACAGAGCTGGCACTCGAAGCTCGAGGTGGACGGGATGCCAGCTGCTGCCCACTTGTGCACATGTCTTCCTCACAGCCTTCCTCCTTGTGGGCAGCAGTTTGAGCTGGGCATTCAAAATGTACACAATGAAACACCTGAAAAGCAGAACAAAACAAGAGAATGTCAACCAATAAAATAGGAACACAGGGTAGTATAGTTAGAACTAAACGACCTTCTAAATGGAGCGTAGAGAAGCTGCTCATGGTAAAGGACCACAAATTTATGCATGCCTTCATGTAAGCCCCAATGAATATCGAACATGGCACTCCAATTTCATGTCATCTATGCTGAATACTACTTTGTTTCCAGGCTAAATTTAAAGCCCTAAATGACCAGGAACTATAGAAGAATGTTCGTTGCCCATCAAATTCAGCTTGACCCTTAAGATTGTCTCATGGAGCTCTACTACTCAGTTTCCTTATCAGCATCAAAAGGGTGGGCAGAAGGGATGGGGCCTTTTCTGTGGTGACATAGAGACAATGCAACACCCTGTCTAGGAAGTCTGCCAGAAGCCATGACTGATTGCCTTTTGATGAGCAGCTATGACATCTTCTGGCAAGCTTTCACAACTATTCCTTGCTAAAATTATTTTGTGACTGCTGCTGTTTTTGTATTCTCTCTAAAAAAATTGTTTTTCTTGTCTTAGTCCATTTATGGATTTTTTTATAAGGTTTCACACATTGCTTTAACTTGTTTGTTATGCTTGCAGACTTTATTTATTTATTTCAGCATGGTTCAGCCAGCAATGCTGAAAATAGAACAAATCACCACTCTAGCAGGTAAATCCCGTAGACAGGCTTATTCTTATGAATAGCACTAGGCTGCAAAAGGTATGGTTCTGCATTTCACAGCTTTGTGTTTATAGCCCGTTAAAAAACAAACACCATAGATGAAACACTGAGAAAGATAAATATTGTGAGATGGCTTTCGCTTATAAGCATTTATATTTGATAACTTTAAATATGAGGTACTCTGCTTAGAATCAGAGACTGCAAAAACTCTTTGTTTCTCAGATGAAGGTACCAACTACATTCAAAGAAACACTCCTGCACCTTAAAAATCAAGCTGATTTATAAAGCAGAAAACAGTTTAGTGATTTCAAATGTATAATAAGATTCCATCTAATTTACAAGGAATGCTCTCTTGTGCATAAATTGTGGAACAAGCCAGTGCACTGCATCTAAATGATTAAAAAAAAATCCTTTTAAAAGTGTTTTATGAAGTTGTAACATTATTATTATTTTTGTAAGGTTTTGTCTCTGAAAGATTTAAGCTTATAGAACTATTAGGAGGAAAAACTGTTATAATTAAACATTGAAAGTAAGATACAGTAATTGATCCACGTGCCAAAGTTGGCCCGTGAGGTCAGAGGAGATAACAGTCTGGCCTACAAGGCAAAAAAGGTTCCCCACCCCTGATTTAAAGAAAGCCCTACTTTCTACATATGGTGTGTGGGGCCTGAGAGGAAGCACACATTTCTGAACTCAGATCACATACAGGTGAAGGGGCAGAAATACTGTCCGAACTGGCCCACATGCTTGTAGCTCAACTTTACAAAAGAAAAAGAAAAGATACTGCTTTTGCTTATTGTTCAAAGGGTTTTAATGTTATAGTATGCAAAACCAAAGCAAATATACAATACTAATATGAATAATTCAGATGATAACTGCTCTGTAACATTCTTCTGTAAAAATTATAATATAAAAAAATGCTCCTCTGTGTTGATTTGATAGCTATTGTCAATTAACTATGCTGAGTGGCACTAGCAATGAATATCTTAAAAAACTTCACTGTTATTATTTAAAGCTTTTGCCGTGACCACTATTTTTTACTTTATTTGTATTTACTTTATTTCTTCAGATTTTTAAAAATCTTTTTCCAAACCTTCTTTTACATTGACTGGAAACTGTTATGATTTCACTTAGCTTTATCCAGGCCCTGTTATCTCTCTGGGAGTGAAAAGGCTAAAAACAAGTTACTGACATACCATTGATTTATACAAGACTATTAGAATATTCTCCCTCCTCCACCACAGCCTAGAATTCGATTAGCCTTTTAGAAAGTCACAGTACACTGAGCAGACATCTTCAGTGAATTGTCTACCTCAGCCCCTGGATTTTCTCTGGATAATTCAGTCCCTACAGTATGTGTGAAACCAATGCAACTTCAGTCACTATGTTCTTTGAATTTTTAAAAATACTTTGTGGCAAGCATGTCTCTGGATATGCAAAACGACCTGAAGGCTTGAAAGCTTATTTAAGTGGCATTTGATGGCCAGCGGATTCCCAGAAATGTTTATTATGGCATACTTCTCTGACTTGGGGATGAAGGAAACAGTTTCGTAGTTTGAATTTAGGAAGAAAGAGGCTGATGGGATGTGTAGCTGCTAGGTTTTCTAAAATAAAAACTAAGTAACTGGCGGGGGGGGGGGGGGAGATCCTTTCACTGTAAACAGTGTGATGGTATCCAATTCCAACTGGGATTGCAGAGGGGTGAAAGGTTAAAGTTCACCAAAGTTTTTATCTGGACCAGTCTAAAACTTGGGTCAAAAAGTCGAAGTAAAAATTTGATAGAAAATGTGAAGAACAATTACAAATTTAATTGGTTGTTATATAAATGGGAGGAAAGAGGTAGGGGATGGGATATATATATGGGGTGAGGAAAGGAAGAAAACAAACTAGCTAACTAGGCAACAAAAGACAAACAAACAAACAAAGGGGGAGGGAGAGGGTTAGATACACACACACACACACACACACAGAGAGAGAGAGAGAGAGAGAGAGAGAGAGAGAGAGAGAGAGACAGACTGGAGGTTAAAATCAGGAGCTGAAGTAAGGAGTCCAATTGATATTTTAAAATAAATAAATTTATATTATGGTATATTTATAATCTAAAAAGGATCAAAGGTCAAACTCTGGGGTCAATTCAATCTTAAAAACAATGAAGAAGAGAAATAAAAATGCAAAAAATCCAACAGTGTAGACCTGAGGGTGCTTCAAAACACAGCAGAGACAGGCTCAGGGGTCTCAGTTATTTGAGGGAGATGGCAGCGATCCCAGGGAGAGGTCGCTCAGGGAGCGAAGTTTGTGTAGCCTACTCTCCCTAACACAGCGGTGGCAACATCGCAAACAGTTCCCTGTTCAGCAGGCGATCATCATTTTAATGGTGATCCCCATTTTGCCACACTGGAAGTCCCCTCTTGTTTGTTTTCTAAAGGATTCTCAGCTGTCCCTTCACTATTTTCTTGGAGAGATCTGTCTATATTTATATGATAGCTTTTCCTGCAATTGTCAGGGTGATTTCCACATGTGTTGCCGTGATTAATAATAATAATAGTCATTTATTATTTATACCCCCCATCTGGCTGGGCTTCCCCAGCCACTCTGGGCAGCTTCCAACAAAATATTAAAATACCGTAATACATCAAACATTAAAAGTTTCCCTAAACAGGGCTGCCTTCAGATGTCTGGTAGTTATTGTTCTCTTTGACATGTGGTGAGAGGGCGTTCCACAGGGCGGGCGCCACTACCAAGAAGGCCCTCTGCCTGGTTCCCTGTAACTTGGCTTCTCACAGTGAGGGAACCGCCAGAAGGCCCTCGGCGCTGGACCTCAGTGTCCAGGTAGAACGATGGGGGTGGAGATGCCCCTTCAGTGGAGGTGGAGATGCTTTGATTAAAGACACTTCTCAAAATACTGTAATCATTTGTACTTTTCATCCCCCCCCCCAAGCAACAGCTGTTGCCACTTTTTCAGTTGCCATGATCAGCAACACAATTTTTTTTGGGGGGGGGACACAAAACAAAACACCAGAACAGCCCCAAAACCAACCCCTGAATTTAGTTACTGGATCAATTGACAAGAATACATTACTTTCTGGGGAAGGCAATGTAATTGAGTACACTCCTGATATCAGGAGTCAAATCTGAGTGGCTCTGTTATGTTATAGCATCATTACACTCACTGTTATTATTGTCCCAAACAGCATCTTCCATTAAATGCTTCTCAAAATAATAAAGGTTATGTATCATATACACAATAAAATAGAATCATACAAGGACAAAGTACCAGAATAAAAAAATCGGAACACATGTGCTGCAAAGTCAGGGTATTATGAGACAGTGCTACCAACTATAACTGAAGACACCAGGCAGAACTACAAAAGAACAATACCAAGCAAACGTTTTCAAATATGTAAAATGATCTGGGGATCTATTATGGGTGCAGGATAGAGGTGTCTGTACAGAGCTTCCATGAAGAGAATGCCTTCGCTATCCATTTCCATGGAAGGAACCATTTCATGCATGTATTTGCTTGAACAGTTTAAATATCTTCACTGAAGGACTGTATGTTTGCGTGTCCCCATATGCATTCATCTGGGGACTGACAGCAAAAAAGGAAAATGACTGTTAAGGTATTACTAGATGAAGCCTGCAGACACGGAAGAAAATGGGAAATATGTGCTGCTTTGGTGTGTGTGTTATTAACATAGATTTTGGTTGAAGCTGATCAGGAGAACAAGATGGGTTTTAGCTTAATTAGAGGATGCAAGTAACATTTTAGAAAACTGCGAGGGAAATCAAACAGAAACAAAAGAAGGTAAAGATTGGATGCGCTAAGTGGTACATGTGACAAGCAAAATAAGAATGGAACAATCTACACTCTGTATTATACAGAATCCAAAAGGAAATGTACAGGTGAGATGCCATCACCAAGCATGACAAAGGTTAGATGAGAGGGATAAAGCACAGATGGTGAAGAAAAGGAACATTTTGTAAGCAGTTAAGAAAAGTAATGAAAACTAGTTTTAAAACAGTTAAGGAAGTAGAGGCTACTACAGAAGGCAGCATTAGCTTGAAAAGGTAGCATGAGGGGATTTTTATAAGCACCATAAAATATCGCTAAAAACATAATGCATTCTTTATTTCACCATTCACAAAGAAAGATGAGAGGCAGATGGTAGAAGTAGACAGACTTCTCCCAAAGGAGGCTGATAAAATGCTGAAGGAAATCAAAATCATGCTGAGCAAGTGATCAAGAAATCAAAACATCCAAAGACTAACAAAAATTTCAGAGTCACACTGGATAAAGAGCTAAA